CTCTCCTTAGCCTGGTTTTGTAGGTGCTAATTGATGCTCGTTAAATCGTTATGCAGTAGCTAGGTCCTGGGTATTGAGCTGGTCCCTGAGTGAATCATGAGTGATTGATTGGTAACTGGTAACACAACAGTTTAGCAGCCAGGTCTGCAGCAGTGTCTCCCCTCCGTACCCCAAGACAGACAGAGTCAGTCCCACAGCACCCATGGCGCGAGTTTTGCTTGTCTGCAGCTTGAGGGGCAGTTCCCCACAAACCCCTGCACCGATCTTCTTTGAAACTTGGCAGATTTTGCAGCCTCAGTAAGAGCTACCACCCCTGCAGGTTGGACCCCCGTGTTGTAACACATAGACGTGACAGGAGTTTTGCTTTCAATAATTTGGAGTACAGTTGCCTGCGAACCCCTGCACCGATCTTCTTGAAACTTGACAGGCTTTGTGGCCTCAGTAAGAGCTACGAGCCCTGCAGTTTTCACCATGCTATGTTGTCACGCCTAGACCTGACATGAGTTTTGCTCTCAAGATTTGGGGTGCTGTTCCCCACAAACCTCCGCACCGATCTTCTAGAAAATTGGAAGGCTTCATCCTCTCTGCAGAGTCTATCACCACTGAAAATTTCATCCAAATCGGACAAAAAACCACAAAGTTATAAATATTTTATTGTTTCCCCATTATACCCTATGGCCGGATCTCCGAGGCGGCTCCGAAGCTCTTCAGAAGCTCCCAACAGCTTCGGGAAGCTGAACGAGGCAGCGCTTCGACCCGGATGTGCTGCTCCGGATCCGAAGCTCTGTCCGAAGCCTCGCACAGCCCTGCCTAGGATAGGTAAGGTCAGGACCTGGCTCTCACGTCACTGAAGTAGAGGTACTATAAATGGAGTGACTATGGCTTTATTCTCAGCTCTGTGAGGTCTCAATCTGCTCTTTCTTCCCTTTCAACAACAACTGTTACTACTGAAATCCCAATCAGGTCCAAAATACTTTCAGCCAGCACTTCAGACAAAATATTCAGTTACTTAATCCAGTATATTAAAGCCACCCAAGTGAATTCAGTGTTTATCAGTGAATCCTTGCGTTAGATGAATGGGAATATATGTAAGTGGAATCCTTTAGAGAGAAGGATTTGCAAATGCAAATTTCTTTCTGACCATTCTAAATGCCCACTAGCACTTGCTGTGTACTCACCAACCATAAACAGGGTTTGCGGGTCCTGGGGCAGGATGAGACACACATGTTGCCAGAGCATCTGCAACAGAAATGAAGATTAGGGAAAATCCAGGCATCCTCTTCAAGGCACAAAAGCCTTACATCTGATGCAGGTGGAGATTTTCATGCAGGATCAAACACACTGATGGAGTCTGAGGTCTTCAATGGATCTTTATTAAATATTAAATAGAATCCCTTCCCACGAACCGGAAGTCTCTTACTGAGCAAAATGTACCTCAGAACCAGTCCTACCCCTTTGAGTCCCACTACCTCATACAGTAGCAGGCTGAGTTCCATACCCTGGGGAGTGTATGTACATCTGGGTAAGCTGTTTCTGACTGTCCCTATGGAGATGAGCTGAATTTCCAACTCAGATCATGGGATTTTATCAGCAACAACCACCAACTCCTTCCAACATCTAATCATCAAAGACTTTGCTTCCTGTCTCATCCCCTCTCCATGTCCCAAGTTCTTTGGGAGACAGTTATCTTGCAGAGTGGAGCATCTGGGTGCAAGGGAGCATGGGGGCATAAAACCAGTTGAGACAGCCTATTCATGTAAAAATCTATTCAAGGTAGACATGTTTTTTTGGGTAAATCTGATATCTTTTATTAGAGCAACTCAGATAGTTTGAAAAAATTCTTCTTAGCAAGCTTTCTGGTATAAATACCCTTCTGCAGGCTGAGGAAGCATCTGCAGTTGTTCTGTGCTCTTCCTGGATGGAATGAATAGTAAAGAAGCCAGAGGCTAGTCTGCATGCAAGGAAAGCAGTCAGTGAAGATGTAAATTGAGGAGTCAGTAGGTGAGAGAGGGTCTGGGAGTTGGGGAATCTTTCCAAGTTTTTTAATAGCTAGGGTAACATAAGATTTCCCAATGTGTGCCTTTTCCCAGTCCCATCCCAGCAAGGATAAATCTACTTTAGCCTGTCAGATTTTCACTATAAGTGTATAAGACTCACCCTTGGCCTCAGCACCATTTGAGTTTCCAAAATGGCATCTACATTGGACTTGACCGGTTCCTCAATCCTGAGACAGCCTGCTCTGCCTGTGCAAGGTGTATCTCATCTGGGCAACTGTGCAGAGCAACTTGTGGATTGTGGGTCACATGCATACATCTTCTGCCATGCATGCTATACTGCTTCATATGGTTTTCTTCCTGGACCAGATTGTGTGCTGCTGTGTTCATGCAGCCCTTCATAGGGGTTAATTAACACTGACTGAAGTCATAGGACAATAGCCTGCCTGCAGCACTGTGCCAAATCATCATCTTTGCTTCTGGTTCATGAGCAACACAGTGCCGTTGCTTGGCATGGTAAAATTTCAGGTTAGATATGGCTTAAGTCATGGGGTGTAAAACTCACCTTGCACCATAGGCTGGATTTAGACCATGGCCCTTATGGGCCAGATGCAGCCTGGGGCACATGCCTTTAGTAGCTCTGGGTCTGACCTGGGGCACATGATGGTAGCAGTGGTGGCAGCAGCTCTGGCTCTGGTTCAGGGAACAGTGTAGCTCCAGCTTCTACTGCATGCCCCATGCCAGAAGCAAAACTGCTTCTACGTGCCTTGTGCAGCACCAGCATCTCTAGTACTGACACAAGGTCTGGGGTATGTAACTATGACAGCAGGATGGTGCGGGCAGCAACGAGACCAGCACTTGAGGAGCTGTGGTCACAGCAGTGACAACAGGAGAAATGGCTGGAGGCTGTATCAGCCTTCACTCACCCTCCTACTGCCAGTCACCAAGTTTGTCAGGACCAGAAGACCCTGGATCTTGTGATAGACCACTACTCTCTGGCCATTTCCCCCGACTTCTGGTAGCCCACCAGTATCCCAGCAGGTTGGATAAAGCAGCTTTGTGGGCTAGATGCAGTGGGTTGGGTGCAGATGTATGTTTGTTAACAGCTCTAACATAAAGGACTCACCAGATAGGATCTGAATATTAAACACTAGGTGCATCTATATGACAAGCTACATTGCTGTAGCAATGTGCTAGAGCAACATAGAGTCTGCAGGAAAGAATCGTGATGCCGCAGCTAGGTCTCTGTAGCGACATGCTCCCCCATTAGAGCGTGTTGCTAGTGACCTAGTGCCAAAAAATAACTGTGTGCTGCATACAGAGCACAGTATGGGCTGTTACTGTGCTGTCTTTTATTCCTTTCATAAGGAAGTACTAAATGACAGCACAGTAACAATGGTACCTTAGGGATGTGTAGACGCGGCCCCTGTGGCCCTTTTGGAAGCTGTTGCTAGTATGTTCAGGTCCCAAAGTACTGGGTCTAAAAGCATTCCACCTCCATGCCCCCCACCTCAGTATTTTTGTCATGCATGTACTCCTTGTAGTGCGCAGGTTTGTTATTACCCTGAAATAGAATAGTTTTCTGATAAGCATACTGTTAGGTTTACAATAATTTAGATTATTAAGA